ACAGATACCACTGTCAAAATCTGAAGGGAAAAGTGTAGTTTGGACAGAAAGTAAGAACTTCTGGCAAATGGCATGGGATAATGAAACAAAAGAAAGACATTTATAAAGGGTGCAAAACACAATAGAAGCTAAGAGGAGTAGCGGATTAAAGAGACAGGAGGAGGCTATTATCAGTAGAATACGAACAGGCCACTGCTTTTTAAATGGTACTCTTTTTAGGATAGGAAAACCTCAGACTGGGTTGTGTGATGGGTGCAATGATATGGAGACGGTTGAGCATGTGCTCCTTAGTTGTAGGAAGTTTGCAAGTCACAGGAGGGTGATGTGGGGTGAAATGGGTGGTGGAAGGGAACTTACGTTTGAACAAGTGGTTGATAAGTTAAGTCATGGTGAAGGCAAAGTGGTGGTTTTTCGTTTTTTGAGAAATACTGGTCTCATCAAGAGGATCTGAGGATTCAGGAGTGATGGACGATTAAAAGCCAGGAGATGGCAGTAATGCAACAGTTTTGGATGCAAGCTGCCGTTAAACTTGACGGAAGAAGAAGAAGAAGAAGACGAACTGTTTTACAACACAAACACGGGGACACGAACAGAGCACAGAGGACAGACACACGTAGGGCTGATAACACACTAAACTCCAGGTTCAACCCTAAACTAATACAAAATCAGAATTAACACAAAACACAAGATGAAATCCTAAGGAAACATAAAACACTGGGTCAAAATGACCCAGGATCATGACAGTATTGAACGCTGCACTGAGGTCTAGCAGGACAAGCACAGAGATGAGGCCAATGTCAGAGACCATAAGAAGATCATTTGTAACCTTCGCTAAATCAGTTTCTGTAATGAGCTCTGAAACCTGACTGAAACTCTTGAAATAAGTCGTTCCTCTTCAGATGATCTGTTAGCTGTTTAACAACTGTCCACATGGGACAATCAGTAGTCTGACATAAGACCCTAATCCCAAAACCTCAGTGGGTCTGCCTCGGCAAGCAGGGATCAGGGAATGATGCTAACTGTATTACATAGCTATATTGTCATTGTCTATGGTTATTCATTAAAAAAAGTTTGTAAGGCACATTGGGGAGTGATGTGAACTATTGGTCATATATGCTCGTCAACCACTTCTTAGGTACATAAAAACTTAACTAAACTGAGATATAAAATTAAAATGAAGTATTCCAAGTTGAAGAATACTATTTACAGTATAGACAAGATATTACAGGTAAAAAACAGTCCATGAGTCATAAGGAGGAGTTTAAAGTTTAATCCACCACAGGTAGGAATGATTTTTCCTCCACACTCACAATGAAACACTTATTAGATAGAGCTGTTCAGTGTGGGTGTGGAGAAAAATGGTAAGTGTTAGCAATAATGAAACAAAGATACGAGAGGCTGAGAGAAAGATACTGTCAAATGTTTAATCCATTCAGTACAGGCTGTTTATCTCAGTGCAAGTGCCAAAAACAACAATATGGAGCTGTGTTTGGTTTATGTACACATGTGAAGTTTGGCCGTGAGAAGCAGAGCGGTTCGAAGACAACAAACTGAAAACAATCGAACAAACAGCAGCAGAGAAACAAAACAAAACTGGACCCTTGGACAGACCGACAGAAAGGTAACACAGAGAGACAACCATCGTTTTTCTTCATTTCAATCACCCACAAACACAAGTCAATGAGCAAAATTAATGGTATATATATTTATATTTATATATCTAAAGTGCATTATGGTACAAAAATATAGAAGGTCAGCAGCACCTCGATACATTTACAAAATAAATACACCATTCAGACAAAATAAATTAATGCAAAAAAACTGAACATAATTGGAATTTAAAAAAGGGAAAAGCAAGGATTCACAAAGAGTAAAATCTGTCGCCCTGCGGAGCGTCAATAAGGTTTATTTTCTTATCATATTCTGCTATCTACTCTGCTATATTTAGAATATTTACACACAATAAATATTTTCCAATTTCTTTCCAAACAATCACAGTTACAGAGTCTGTAATGTGAGCATTTAGGAGTCCACTCCAGCCGTCCAAAGGTTTCTGCAACACAGAGACAGAGAAAAACAGGTGAATCAGGGTTTATTCACAGAGCTCTAACTGTCCGCCCTATTTTTCAGACATCATCATCATCTCAGCTCCACAACACTGACACAGCACAGAGTCAGTGCACTCTGCAGTATCTGCGGCTTTAACGCGGCACACAAGTGTTCTGAAAACCAGGTCAGCTGTTTGGACTCACCTTCGTCAGAGACTGACGGCGTTTTAATGCAGCGCCCTCTGGAGGCCGAGCAGAGACCTCCACTCCAGGAGGAGTCCGCTACCCAGTTCATCCTCCAGCCTCCACCCCAAAGAGCGAGCCCTCCTCTTCCTCTTTTCCCCTTCCCTCCTCTTCCCAGCCCTCGATTTCTTCTTCTTTTTGCCCGACACTTTATTCACGCCGTCTTTGTATGTCTGCGACTTGTTGGTCTCCTGTGGCAGGTTGGTGCCCTCCTCCTCCTCCAGCCGGAAGCTGATGGGGAGGTTCTTGGTGCCTCCGGGGGGTTTGGAGTGCAGGGTGCTGCCGGTGGTGCTGAGGTTGATTCCCAGGCCGACCCCCGGCATCCCGACTCCGGCGTCGCTGCTGCTCCCGCCTCCCCCTGTGGTCCGCATGGGGAGGTCACGGATCTCTGCCGTGTGGACTTCGTCCAAAAGCGCCTTCAGGAGTAAAACACGCTCATGTTCCATCATCATCCGGCCTTTGTCATGCATCAGCTGAGCGTGACTCACCGAGCGTTTCCTGAACAGAAGAAAGAGAGAAGGTTTGTTTACATGAAGCTTTTCATCGTTCTAAAAGATTTTCAATCAAACAAAAACAACAACGCCCTTTTAAATGTTTCAGAGCTCATCTCTGCAGGTTTCTACTTAAATAAAAACACCCTGTGACTCAGGCTGGAATCAAAAGTGTTACCATCTACACCACAGGAAGCACTTCAAACTGAACCATGCAAAATAAAATAATATTTTTATTGTTGAAAAATTTGGTCTAATATTTGTTTTTACAGGCTTATTGACGAAGCTAAACACATGTGCATTATTTTGGGTTTCTCCCTGTTGTCCACATACTTTTGGCATTTTAGTGTTGACCTGACTGACCAGCAGAGGGCAGCACAGGCAAACAGTTTGAAATGGAGCAGCCGGAGAAACCGTATCCTTCTTCTCCTTTAAATTCTTCCCTATAAATTCGACGGCATTTCTTGAACACAGGTTTCACTGCTGTCTTTCCTCTCCAGTTGTTTTTGGACAGCGCTGTTGCATCCATGCAGAGAAATGACCTGATTCATCAAACCACAGCCGTGCCGTTGCTTTCCAAGCCTTTTAAAAGTGATACAGAAGATCCCCGCCCTGCGAGGAGGTCCAGGAGGGTTTTCTCTCCTTTTAGATGAACATGAGCGCAGCCAACGCTTTCACTCTTCATCAGCGTGGATGTTAACCGGCACATTCGTGGCACTCAGACCCTTGAGGGATTACAAAAACTGCTGCCACAAACACTTCGTGCCAATTAAATGTGGTGGAGGAAAAAAAAGCTGCTGTGATTCTGAAATGAAGCTGCACATTCCTCCACACTGAAAAAGTGAGTCATAATAAATCTATCGACTCTGATTTTAGCTGAAAACCCATCAGAGGAGTTCAGTCCTCAAGTCAGCAAAAACACCACGAGAGTTACGATCGTTTAGTGTCAACTGCAGCAGCGCCACAGTTAAAACTCCACAGTTTGAAGAATGAAGGCCTAAAAAATGAAGCTGGAGTTCCTCTGACATCCAGCAGAGGCTCCAGCAGTGAGTTTCCAGCCTAAAACGGTGTGTCCGTGGATAACTTCCTCCTTCATAACACCTGTACCAGAGAGCACATATTTAAAACTCACCCGTTTAAATCAACTTTCATCTTAAAACATCTTAAGCTTAAAATTTGATCCATCTTATATTTTTAACAAGCAGTTTCATGCTGGTTTAATCAAACCACCAACTTGCTGAATCCAAGCAGAGCCTATACAATTTCACCTCCACAACACTAGTTAAGTTTCTCTCCTAAAGTTCATCCACTTTTTTCAAGACGAATCACAGTGATTGTGGGCTGCTGTGAC